CATGTAGGCGTCTTGCATCTGCCAGAATCTTGCTGTGGTACCACTCCCTGCCGCATGTCCACGGATGTTCACGTAATCCACAGGGAAACAATGACCCTGACCAAGATATGTCATTATGTCAAAGTCGCTGAACTTGCCTCTGAGGTAATCTCTGTAATCAATCTTTTGTTGCATTTGGTCAAAGCTGCAGGTTGCTCGCCAGTATGTTGATTGGCTGCGGAGAGTTTTCATTCGAGCCAGAGTCTGGCGATAAGAGTTCCAGTTTGGGGTCTTACGGTTGATTGGTGCGTCCTGCAGAAATGTCTTGCTTCGAAAATGAGGAAGATCTTTCGATGCTCGGCTCCAAGACATGACAAGTGTCCAAGCTGCGCCCGGTTCAGACGAGAAATCGCAGTAAGCCACGTATCGCTTATTGTGGCTATCAAAGAGCCAGAAGAAGTCGCTTTTAAAGACGCCATGTCGAAGGTAATCCAAACAGGATCGCGCGATAAAACCTTTCATTTCCAGGTGGATAGCTTTAGGGAACTGAAATAAAGCAAAACAACAATCAGAGTTTTACATCATGAGCTGGGAAGTATTTATGATGGTAAAAGGCCATTAACAGTTATATGCGTTTGATAGCATGACTGCAATTAAAAACCCAATTTGGTTGGAAAGTAACCCCCAAAACATACAGCTTATCGACTGGAGAGGAGGAGCGGACTGATTAAAAATAAATTTAAAAAATGGAAAGAACCATTTCATCTTGGAAATTAACTATACTAAATAGCTTTCTACGTTGCTAAATGTATTTTAAATGTTGACTGAAATACTTACCAATTTTTCTTGACCCACTACGGCCAAAAACAGCAGAGAAAACAGGCTTAGTTTCATTTCGGTCAGAATTGAGCAGCACAGCCTTTGGAGAGAAAAACTGATTGGTAACTATAAAGGAACATGTCTTGACCTGAAGGTTTGAGCGAAATACTAAAGCAGGGGGGCGTAAGGGTTTGCGGTGATGCGGTTTTGCGTTATTTTTGGTGCGGTTTTGCGGTAATTTTCGTTTTAACTCGNAAGATCTTTCGATGCTCGGCTCCAAGACATGACAAGTGTCTAAGCTGCGCCCTGCTCAGACGAGAAATCGCAGTAAGCCACGTAACGCTTATCATGGCTATCAAAAAGCCAGTAGAAGTCACTTTCAAAGACGCCATGTTGCAGGTAATCCAAACAGGATCGCGCGATAAAACCTTTCATTTCCAGGTGGATAGCTTTAGGGAACTGAAATAAAGCAAAACAACAATCAGAGTTCCACTGTTTTAGCGAGACATCGTGAGCTGGGAAGTATTTATGATGGTAAAGGGCCCTTAACAGGTGCACGCGTTTGATAGCATGACTACACATAAAAACCAAATTTGGTTGGAAAATAATCCCCAAAACATATAGCTTATCAACGGGAGAGGAGGAGCGGACTGATTAAAAATAAATTTCAAGAAAGGGAAAGAATCGTTTCATCTTGGAAATTAACTAAACTAAAAAGCTTTCTACGTTACTAAATGTATCTTAAATGTTAACTGAAATACTTTACCAATTTTTCTTGACTCACTAAGCCCAAAAATAGCAGAGCAAACAGGCTCAGTTTCATTTCGGTCAGAATTGAGCAGCACAGCCTTTGGAGACGAAAACTGATTGGTAACTATAAAGGAACATGTCTTGACCTGAAAGTTTGAGCAAACTATTGAAGAGGAAAAAGTCAAAGGCTGTAGGACAAATGAGAAACACTCGGTATATGTCGGTAGAGATTCGATGCTTCTACTCAAATGCGGGAGTGATATTTGCATTCATCTATATTATGCGAGATCTGCTTGTGTAAGGAACCCAATCTACTACTATTTTACTAAATGTAGAGGTTCAATAGCGATCACGAAAGATGATCTGTCGCAACCATCATGATAATTCGTTTCACCTACCTACCTTGAAGATTCAGTAGTTTGATGTTAGTTAAGAACCTTATATTTACTATAACTATATACGAAGCAATATTGTAATCTCGTAGTACAATTACGGGCTTCCTATTATAAACATTTCACACAGCAAGACCTCACAATCTGATCAGTTTTGTCCTCTGGTTAAGCAAGCTATTCAGCTAAGAGTGCCAGTCTGCAAATATTCAAGGCAAAAAGTTATTAAAAATATTACGACACAGACAAATATCTCGTCTCGTGGAGCTTCTGCAAACTTACACAGGCTTTGCCAAAATGACACAAGCTGTCGGTAAATGAGGTGGGCTAGGGAAGCCGAATTAGACCCTTTCGATTGAAAGTCACTTTGATGAACGTCGTCTACCTTTCGTTAAATGAGATCATATTATTACATAGTAAGCCTTACTTACTTTCCGGGAAAGTTAAAGATGCAAAGATGTTAGCCGGCATAGAGGCCCCAAATGGGTACGAGTCATTTGTACATGTCAATGACAGCCACGCACTTTTCGGCTGGCTGTTGCTCATTTTATGCTCTTAGATTCCAGAGTTTCATGGGCAAGAAAGATCTGTAAGCCTGGTTTTGACAAGGTTTTCACTCATAAGAACAACTTTAAGCTTTATATTGGCACTAAGAAACGCTAGGGTAAATACAAAACGCTAGGATCAAAATTTGAATCCTTACACTTTTATGTGCATTACTTACTGTTTTCTTATGGTTTATATTGATGGTTATCTTTGGGGTTATGTTCACTTATGCTAGTGGAAGGCAGGCTTTACTCTTTTCCCCGAATTTTAGACTAAATTTTGTAGCGTTTACGGTTTTCTGGTTAGTTCGATTAGCAAAACGCTTCATAGAGGGACATCTCTTAGCGGCTGTTACTACAAACAGAGAAACCAAATAACATTGAGACCGGCATCTTTACAAATAACTATATTCTCGATACATCTCAATTTTCCCTCGCCCTACGATAAATGGGCCTGGCATATTAGTGTAACTAAAAAAGCCAAAGAACATAATTAATGATAACCCCGTCGTAGATATTGCATCTAGAGGCTGCGTGAGGTCAGTTGAACGCCACTATCAAACCGCACCTGATTTGAAACATTGGCTTTTCTGTTTCATGAGTCAAATCCGATAAAATAGAAACACAGAATTAGCACTCTTCTGGCGGCTGTTTACGACCTTTCTTTAAGTATGTTTTAGTTCCAGATTTAAACACATCCCTGAGAGGATATCGAAACCATGACGCTTTCACGTGATCATTAAGTGATAAACGTAACTTGTTTTCCTCTATCCTTATATCGTTTATAGTTTTTTTGCGTCATTTTTGCCGCGCTACTAACATGAAGCCAGGTAAAAGGTTTTAGCACTATTGCGTTTAAGAGCCATCGAGTCTAGCCAAAACTGTATTAAGCCACCTGGAAAAAGTTTGCAATTCATGTTCATATTAAAACTGTGGTCACGTTTAGAGCTTGGTTTCGTATACCAAATTTATTATATCAGTGTAACTTGTCGTACTAGCTACCTCTAACAAATTGTTTACAGGATGGTCCAGTCTGATTATAGTCCTATAGACCCATTCAAGAATTGTCGTCGTTAATTGTGTCTTCAAAGAGCAAAAATTCACAACAGAATTAAATTAGTTTAACGTAAAGATCAAGTCGGATTGATCCGCTCTTGTCACTCTATGGGGTATTTAGACGGTATTCCTATTTAATGAGAAACAGCAGGAACATAACAACAGAGCAGAAGTGGCCACATGTGGGATTTTCCGATTTAAATAGATGACAAACTTGCCGCACTTATGTCAAAATCATCAGAAATTCTCAAAATACCATAATTGTTTACATGTTTCCAAGTGCCATCCATTGTATTCTATAAAGCTCTAGTAGCTAAAACAATTGTAGCTCTTTTTGAATGGGTCTATGATCATATAATTTAGCTTGGCTTCATATCACTGCTTCTGGAGTCTACATACAGACGACTTCATAGTTCATCCAAGTATCCACCGAACCACCATTGGGTTGTCGAATCATTTGCCATGGTGCAGCGGAAATTCTTGTTGATGACGCCGTAGAAACCAAAGTTGTCTTCACTTGAAACAGCTCCAGTGTTAGGTTTGAAGGCACAGTCACCGATGTGAAAACTGTCGGTGTGAAGGGTGTAAGTGTTGAGAACCTGCCAGAACCTTGCTGTAGTACCACTCCCTGCCACATGTCCACGGATATTCGCGTAATCTACCGGGAAACATTTACCCTCACCAACATACGTCATGATGTCAAAGTCGCTGAACTTGCCTCTGAGGTAATCTCTGTAATCAATCTTTTGTTGCATTTGGTCAAAGCTGCAGGTTGCTCGCCAGTACTTTGATTGGCTGCGAAGAATCTTCATTCGAGCCAGAGTCTGGCGGTAAGAGTTCCAGTTCGGAGTCTTGTGGTTGATTGGTGCGTCCTGCAGAAATGTCTTGCTTCGAAAATGAGGAAGATCTTTCGATGCTCGGTTCCAGGACATGACAAGCGTCCAGGCTGAGCCCGGCTCAGACGAGAAATCGCAGTAAGTCACGTATCGCTTATTGTGGCTATCAAAGAGCCAGTAGAAGTCGCTTCCAAAGATGCCATCTCGTAGGTAATCCAAACAAGATCGCGGGATGAAGCCTTTCATTTCCAAGTGTATAGCTTTAGAGGACTGAAATAAAGCAAAACAACAATCAGGATCAGTGCCACTGAATTAGAGAGACTTTTCCACGAGCCGGAACGTATTCATGTTGGTAAATCAGCTGTAAAAGACCATTTGATATTTATTTGCATTCACATGTCTCCAAAAATAGGAAGAATAAAAGCTAATTTAGTGGGAAATTAACTCCAAAGATATATAGCTTGTTATGAACTTGAGAAGAGGCGCCGACTGATAAAAAATAAATTTCAAGAAAGGAGAAGGATCATTCCAACTAGAAAATTAATTTTTCAAAATAGCATTCTACATTACTTAATGTTTATTAAATGTCGACTGAAATACTTTACCAATTTTTCTTGACTCACGGCAGTCATAAACAGCACATAAAACAGGATCAGTTTCATTTCGGTCACAATTGAGAAGCGCAGCTTTTGGAGAGAAAAACGGCGAGTAGTTATGAAGGTGCACGTCTCAATCTGAGGGCTTAAGTACAAATGCTAAAGTGAGGTGAAAGGCTGTGGGGTGAATGAGAAACACTTAGTGTATAGAGATATTCAATGCTGTTCAAATGATGCTCGCATTCATCTTTTTCTGTGAAATGTAATACGCGAGATCCACTTTTGCGATGAACCGAATCTACCATTGTTAGAAATGCTGCAGTTCATTAGAAGGAAATCTCTCTTTGAAAGTTGAAACTACGAACATCTACTTACCTTGAAGACTCAGTGGTTTGGTGTGGGTGAAGAAAGTATATTTACTGAAAATGTCTGCGAGGCAATCTTTTAATCGTGTCGCACAGCAACAGGCTTTCTTTTGTAAACATTTCAAATATCAACATACCTCACAAACTGATTGTTTTT